AGGAACAAGAGCCCTGAAAGTGCCAGGGACAACTGCTCTTACACATGAATGAATCGGAAGGCAAAGCAAGTATTGGAATAAGAAAACCCGAGCCTGACGTTATAAAGGAGTAAGATATCCCACTCATTCACTTTGTTTTGCCGTACTGCTACAGGCAAACAACCCGCATTAAAAATCTAAGGCCAGAATCTCAGCTGAAGCATTTTGGTTAGTACAGCATCTGACAGTCAGCCCTGCGTCTGAAGCCCCGCCAGAGCCTTTACATAATGCAGTTCATTACCATATAATGTTTTTAAAATAATTAAAAGAACAGTTCATTAGAGCCGTTAGTCAATACTCTATTGCTTTTAGGCATTTACTCAGACTTGCAAAATGAGCCTGAAAATTTACCAGCTAGGGTACAAAAAGACTACTTGCCAATGTCGGCTGTAATGCTGAATGGACTGCACTGTCAAAAATCGACAAGCTCAAGTGAATTTGGTGAATAAAATGCTGCAGCACATTTCACTACTCCTGGCACTGGCCTGTAAAGAGAGACACAGGTCTGGTTTGGACACAGGGAGGCTCCAGAGGCAGATTAGCTAATAGCAGGTCACAGCAAGCACGGAAATCCTCGGGTATTCTAAAGAAAAAGAAAACCAGTATGGTAAATATCAGTGCTCTTCTGCCAGGCACAGGTAACGCTTCTGATCTAGTTAATTATGTAGTTAATATTTAACTAGTTTGTATCTTACTCGTGGTCTATTTTACATTTTACAGTAGAACCAATTTTCATGTTCACAGATTTTGAAGTGATAAAGAATGCCTGTATAATGTGTTGACTTTGTCCCTTTAAGTCTCTAACTGTCATTTTAAAGAAAAAAAAAAAATCTATGTTAAAAAAATAAAGCTGTACTGTGGAAAAACAATATTAGTGCCGAGATAATATATAAAGGCAATTACATTATTATTTTAGGCAACTGTAAATTTCTGGATTTAATATATTTTTGTTACAAACTTACTAAATGGCATTTATAAAATAATAATGATACTGAAATATACATGAATCATGCAAAGTGTGTCATTCCAGGGAGCCAATGAAGTTGGTCATTGACAAATAATATCCTTCACTGCTTTGCTTAAAAGAGGACTGTCATTCTAGGAAAAACTTTTTAATGTATGCCTTTTGCCTTGTTTGCCAATTAAAAAAAAAAAGGTTTAAATAAGAGCTTGCTCTTTTCTAGCACATCTTTCTCTCCGTATGAGCCTGAATGAACACTAGCAGAATTAGCTACCTAATTTTGTAGAACACTAAACACTTTTGATCGTTTGTGGTGCTCAGCATGCCACAGGATGAGGCTGCTTTACCTTACCACGGAGTCAGAAAGAATCAGCATGTTCTTCTTACGAATAACGTGGACGAGAGCAAATGCCATAGCAGATAAATTACTTCTGAGCTTATACGTTCTCTATACTTAACGTTAATACAAGAAGAAAGTCCTTATCAGTCGTTCTCTATTACTCACAACTCTGGGCAAATAACGATCAAAAACCAGGCAGCCAACAGCTCATAACATACCCAGTATGTCACACAGCCTTCCCATCTGCATATTCTGCTGGAGAGCAAGATCAGGAATATGCTCACGGGTGCATTGGGAATATCCTGGAAAACAAGTAAAGCCCCTTGCAAACTGTGTTCAGAAAACCCCTGGTACATATTTGAAAGAGATCAGTCTTTTGGGTTAAAAAAAGCTGTAATAAAAGTATTTCAAATCCCAAACGTGGTATAACACCGATTACATCATCTTTATGAATTCACTTTTATTAGTGAACTGATGTTAACATCACGCTTTCATATCATGAGATTTTAAATACAGACCTAAATGTTACAGCCCTATAGAGCTTTACAATTTTAACATGTCGACTGAGGATTTTGAGTTGTCTATGTTGCTAGATTTTGGTTTTTTTAAACACTGAAAAAAATGACACCATCATTAAGCAAGAATCTTGGTACATTTGGTCCTTCACACAGATAAAAGGCAACAAAATCACTTCATTAAGGAGATGTCTCGGTGATACCTGATCACTTTGTTGCGGAGGATGAATGACTGGCAGCCTGTCTGAGCTTGGATTATCTGTTTGGAGGTCAGACTTCCAACTGATTGCACACTCGCATTCAAAAGGACTGCAGCAAATGACATGACCGCTGTAACTATAATCTCTAATCCTGTAATTTTTAAATTCAGTTAATTCTAAATTAATTGGTGTGTATACACAAGCACACGCAACCACACAATGCGAGTTGCTAGTTGCAATAGCCGCGATTAAATCAATAAGGAAGTTCAGCTTAATATTCAGTGTTTGGCACAAAATCCTGACTGATGCAGTTACAAGATCCTTACAACATTTCCACATATCTGCGCACGACCAATCTTCCGAAACTTCTGAAAAACTTAGTTTGACTGAAATCTGCTCAGTATTTCAGTGCTTTCATTTTGGAAGATAGTAATAGTCGATCTTCCAGGCAAATGACAAGGACAATTATTATGAGTAATCAGCATTCTAAGGTGCTGTGGCAATGACACCTTGCACACGGGAGAGCAGAACGTAATGAAATACAGAGAAACGGAAATCGCCAGTTTCATTTTGAGTAATTTCCTGTAAAACTTATATATTGTACTTAGCACAATGGCACCAGGCACCTGCAGAACTACATCAATGTAAAAGATATTGATTTTCTTTGCCACTCTAATATTAAGCTACAGTAATTTGAAAAAGCTTGCTCTGATTACTTAAACTTTACTCTCAAGGCTTCGTATTGTCCTCTCAGGTGGGGACCAATTTTAAGCCCTTAACAATGCTGCCTAACAATTTCAA